ACCTGTTGAACGTATGCAATCCCGCATTTCCCGCGATGGATGGGGGGAGAGGGGAGGGGAAAGAGAGGCGGGAAGAAAGCTAATTTTCCTAAACCTTCACTTTATTGGCCAAAGAATTTGGGGGACAGGGAAAATAAGAGGCCAACCACTTGGCAGTCTGGGCTAGCCTCTTTCGTGGACATTTTCCCCACGAAACAAGGAAAGGCGGGTCAATTTACCTCTCTTCTGCCTTTTGGAGCCTGCATAATGGGGGAGAGAGAGAGAGAGAGAGAAGCCCACCTTTCTGAAGGGAGGGGAAACGGAGGATTGACAGGCAGGAACCGGGCAATAAGGAGTCTAGTTCTCCCAACCGGGCGGCCCCAGTCAGGGAGACGCCTGGACTCTGACGTCACCCGCCGCTGCCAAATTCGCCCGGAAATGAACTTGTTAATAATAAGCCCCCCAAACGCTACTATACGCCGCCCACCTTCTCCCCCCCCAAAGCAGCTCAGGGATCTGAACCCTCCGCCACCCTTCTCCCGCCCGCCCGTTGCCTCTCGGTCACCTTCCCACCCAGACAAAACAATTCCAGATTCTAAAACAAGGGCAGGCGGGAAGGCGCACTGGAGCGCCCGCTCCGACCCCCCCCCCCCCCCGCCCCCCCACCCCCCCCTTCCCCTGCCCTCGAGCTTCCTAGCGGGTATCCCGGCCCGGGTCGCCGCGGGGAGAAGGGCGAGTGCGGGGGAGGGGAGGGACCCCTGCTGGAACTGGGACGCTGCCTCTTTTGAATTCCTTTCCAGCCTCCTCCGCTGCCCCCAGCCTCCCCCCCCTCCTCCACTCCTCCTTTGCATGTTATTCCCAGGAAAGACCTCCTTTCAAAGCAGAGAGGAGCCGCCAAACTCCGGGCATGGGGCGAGGAGGTTGGGGTGGGGGGAGCCGGTGTGGCAAAGGCGCCCACCAATCTTTCTGCGGCAAGAAGCACGGAGGCCGAAACCCGGGGCTGCAAAGGCACCTACGCGGCCAAACCAGGCCACTCCTCTTTTCCCACGGCTGGAAAGCGAGAAGACAAGCGACATTCTTGCCAGCAGCAGATCCTGCCCGGCAGATGGGAGATCTGGAGTCTAGAAGGCGCCTCTTGTCCTTCAGGGTCATTGGACGCCTGGGGGGGGACGACAAAGGTGCCGCTGGACCGCAGCACATCACCGCCAGGCCAGCCCTAGGTTGCAAAGGCGAGCAAGCCGCTCCCGGGCCTTGAGGCTGCTGCTGCTTTCCCCCAATCCCCTTCCAAACCAACCTTTCTGGTTTTCCAACCAAGCTTCTGCTTCTCATCCGAATTTACAGTCCCCGTGCTCGAGCTAGCACGCACAAAGACCCACACATGTTGAGGTGGTAATGGGGGGGGAGGCGCGCCCGTGCGCGCGGGTGCGCGCGCTTGGGGATCGAAACAATGCAGCAGCAGCAGCAAGCCACCAGGAAAGTGACATTCGGAAACGGCGGACTCGGATCTACTAAATTGAGAGTCCGGAAAGGAGGTGCGGAGGAGACAAGATCCCATCGCTACCTGAGAGACCGGTTGCCTTGGAATCGGGGACAAAAACGAGGCCAGCCCGAGTCCAATGGGGTGGTGGAGAATTCAGCAAGAAAGCAACGACTAAAGAAAACTCGCCTGCTACCTCTGCCAGACGTGGAGGGGAGATCTGGCTGCCCTTTTAAATTATCTTCCCTCTTCTTTGCATAGTACGTAGAACAGCAGAACGTTATTTAAAATAAAAGCGGGCGAAAGAAAAGGGCGTTATTTTTAAGAACTCCCTGAAAATAAGGCTCAGACAAAAAGTTTATAAACCGTTTTGATTTGGGCATCTTTCTCCCGGTTCCAGGTTCAACAACGCGGCGAGATTCAGGGGCCAACAGAGCAAGATTTTAATTAAGCAGCGAGCCAGCGTTTTGCATTAGATATCGCCAACCATTCCAGCAACCATATCGAGATTATCACTGAAATCTGATGGGATAAAAGGAAATGTCACCGCTGCATCCCTCCGGCTAACGGCACCATTCGGTTAATCCTGACATTAATACATTCGTAGCAATGTATTATCAATTAAAATCATTTTTTTTTTAAAAAATGATCACACTTCCCCACAGGCAACAGACCCGATCTTTCTGCGGGGAAGGGGAAGGTTTGTTTTAGATAAAATCTCAGTTAACGAGCTGATAATTCGCCCTTGTTTGTTTTAAAAGACAAATTGTAAAGATTAATCAAACTGGCTGGTTTATGGAATGGGGGGGGGAGATACCCTAAAACTGCCCAGGAAACTCCCCTGAAGCTGCGGGTCAAGTTACCCTACAGCCAGTTTTTGATCAGCGCTGAATTAGGGCCCCTCTCCCTGACAAAACTGGGCACCCGCCGGGAAAGGAAAGGGCATCCTGCTGCAAACATGTAGCAGATTAAAAGGCAAACACAAATTAAAAAACCCACCCCGCCCCCAACTCTCCCTTCCAAGCTTTCACCATGCAGAATTTGCAACATTATTCGGGTTACTATTACTATTCCGATAATAAATTCTACTGCAGTATTTATCTGATAATACTGTTGCTGATGATAATAAATACCATTATCATCATCATCACCACCATCGATATTGTTACTAGTATCACAGCTGCCTTTTCCCTTTTTTTATAAAAAACCCCAGCAGTGGAGGCGCCACCCTCTTTTTCTGGTTTCTGGGGAGAATCTTCCTTGAGCTTTCTCTCTCTCTCCTGCCCACCGGCAAAGGGCTAATCCTCGGAGCAGCAGCGCCGCGGTTCTTTTCCAAGCCTCGAGGAAGGACGCGCGGCCCTCTCGCTCGTGCTCTTCCTGGCTCAGGATCAGATCCCCAAGTCCTGCTTTCTAAATCCAGCTCATTTGGGCGAGCCTGGTCCAATCGCTTCGCCCGCCCCCTCGCCCTTTACAAACTGGCTTCTTCTGCGTTTCAAGGGCGGTGGGAGAGAAAGCGGGGGGGGAGTTCCAGGATCGCGCCGGGTTGGCCCGGCTCCTGTTTAGTGGAGGTCTGATTCTCGCCTTCTCGCAACCAGGGAAGCTGCGCCTTCTTCTTTCAAAGTCTTCTTCCAGTCCCCAACCAGGGCGGCACGAGGGCTCTGGTTTCTGAACTCTTTAGGGCGAGGAGTCCTGCTCCTTCGGAGGGCTCGGGTGGTGATGGTGAGGTGGGGACGGAACGATCTCTCTTCTCAATGCAGCCAACTCCGTACAAGAAAGCCGCCGAGCAGGATGTCTTCTGGTCCGTGAACGCGGGCGCGTTGGGGGCCTCTGATTGAATTAGTTTTTCTCCCCCTGTCGCTGAAACCCGCACGCGGAGCTCAGGCGCAACCGCTGAGCTCATTCTCTGGGACCGAGCGGCAGGCCGCTTCTTCCCACGGCTGGTTAAACAAACCATTCCGTCCATTTCATTAAACGCCTCTCTGGAGAGAAGCCGCTTGAGCGGGCAGAGGAGTGCGCGGCACGGTAGCAGCCAGCCGGCTCCCATTCCCCATTGCTTCCCTGAGCCGAGGATTCAGCCTGCGCTATCTTCCCACCCACCCACCAAGCTCTCCCGTGTTCGGGTCAAAACGGAAAGAGGAGCCGCGGGAAGAAGGAGAACAGATTGCGTGAAGTTGCAGATGGTTTTCCTAAAATACATGGGGATGTGGATAATTTTTTTTTATACAATACTATGCGTGCCTCCGGACAAGGAGGGATGGGTAAGTTTATAGTTTGTTCCTGGTAAACGAAAAGCTCTCCCCCTGAATAATTTGTGGAAGGAAAATACCGATATTATAGCCACTGTTAGAAAAATATAACTTTTTGTTTCTCGTTAATTTTCTATTGTCAAGCTTATGGTTTGGGGGGGAAAACACGTTTCCTTTTAATATATGATTAACCTCATAATTTGCTGCGAATTGTTCCCCATTCATTTTTCTGCTTTGAGAAGGAAACTTTTTTTTCCGATTGTTATATTTTCTCGGACATCGAGTATATATTGGAGATTATCCTCCTCCATTTTTGTGCCGACTAGACACATTCGCAACGATTCGAATGTGTATTTTCAGCTACAAAGACACCTGTGCCTAAACAGACATAGCAAAGAGTGTTTGTTTATATTCACTCTGTCTCTTTCACACACACACACACACATGAACGCACTTTCCTGCATACTTTCCCCTCCCCCAATTTATCCCATTTTAAGAGACTTTTTTTTAAAAAAACAATGAACCGGAAAGAGGCTACTGTAGAACCAGAAGCCAGGCGTGTCATTGGGAAGTCCGATTAAGACAGAGTTGTCTGCGTTATTCATTCTCTAAAACGCGCCCTCCTTCTTAGATGTCCTGTCACCTGCGGCTCCTGTCACTGACACTCGCTTCAAGAGTTCTCTCTCTCTCTCTCTCTCGCTCGCTCGCTCGCTCCTGGTTTGGGTGTCAAACTTCCCGCCAGCCACACGCCTGAGATTAAGTTCATTCTCGCCCGCTCCAGCCTGCCCTGCTCGATCTCCTCTTTAAAAAGCCCCCTGGCTTTTCTCTGCAAAAGGAAAACCTCTCTCTCCCCCCCACCCCTCCGCCTTTCTTGCATATCAACCCAACTCGGCCACCCTTTTGGTGGTCAGAAAGCAAGAACTTCGCTTCGGCTGCCGCGGGATTCTCCCGCAGAAACAAGGGAAACCTTCGGAAGCGGCCGCTACGCTCGGTCCCGCTGATCTAGGGCGGGTCTTGGTCGCAAACTTCAAAGGCCAAGCGCTAAATTCTCTCTTCGGCACACAACCGCGTTGCCCTCCCTACTTTCTTTGCAAATAGCCTTTTGCAAACTCGCCTCTCGCCCGGAGAAAGTCAGCAGAGAGATGAATCAGAAAGTAACTGGGGAGGAGGAGAAGGAGAAATAACTCCGGTGAAGGACCCGACTGGATTTTACACCGGACCACCAGACACCCCAGAGGAACGATCTGTGGCAGAGCGACTTCTCTTTGGGGCAGAGCAAAGGCAGCCTGGATACTCACCGCAACCGAGGGTGGTCTCCCTCCGGGCGCCCGATCCCTGCGGCGGCCGCGACAACAGGCAGCTGCTCCAATGCCAGCCGCGGGCAAAGGGAAAAAGGGGTTGGGAGGGGGAGCGGCCGGGAGGAGTGGCAGCCGAGAGAGACTGGCTGCCTGGTCTGGAGAGCGGAGGGGGGGGGCGGCTCAGGCAGCGGCGGCGGCGGCGACCCCTCGCACTGTTCCAACAAACTGGCAGAGGCAGGTACAGAAATAGAATCACGTACAACTAGCGTCAGAAACACACACGCGCGCGCGCGCACAGGCACACACACCACACACACACACACACACACACACACACACTTCTTCCTCCCCGCTCTTGTCTTCCGGGTTAGCAGTCCAGCAAACAGCGTCCCCAGAACTCATTTGCAGCTGCAGCAGCCAGGGCTTTTGCGCCGCGCTAGTGGCGGTGATGCAATGAGCAGCCCTTCTCCTTAGAGAGGATCGCGGTGCCCCCCCTCCCCCGGAGTGGGGGCAGTGACACAAGACAACCGTGGGGCGTAGTGGGGGATTCGGAGTCCCCTCCACGTTGCTCCCGTTCCCCGAAATACATTGCCGTTCTCTTTCTTCCCCCTCCCCCTTCATTTCATGCAACGAAAACCTCGGGGGGTTATTCAGAAGCTTTATCTAGGGGCCACTGCGGCTGGAAGTGCAAGGCCTGGCGGGAGATCCTAAGCGTGCTTTACTCCAAAGTAAAAGTCCCAATGTGCCCAGCTGCTGAGCTGCTTCCTAGTAAATGCGCGGTGCTGAGGCCTAGAGCTAAGAACTCCTTTTGCACCGGTCACTACTAGTGGGACGCTGGAAATTTTTAGTTTATTCTGTAGCTGCTGATTCTTCGTTGCTTTGTCCCTTGAGTAGGACTGAGACCCGGCGAGGGGTGGGGGAGGCGGGCAAATAGGAAGTGTCCCAACGGAGGGAAAGGATCCCCTTACCCCCACTCACCCCAGGAGTATCGCTTGTCCCTTCCAGGGCGGAATGGGGAAAACGGTGGGGTTGCCCTTCCAAGTCAGAGAGGAAATTAAAGCCACCCCTGTCCAAGTTTTTGGCTTAAGCTCTCTCCTTCCAGAACCAGGCCCTTAGCGTTCCCACACTTCCTCCTTAGCCCAGGACAATCTTCCCCTGCCTCTGCCTTGACAGCCGAAGGGTTGGCTGTGAAGAACTGGGAAGGCTAGATGATTGTGGCTGAGGTCGCCATCCTTCTCTTCTTTTCTTATTTCCAGGCAGTCAAACCTTGGTTTAAATGGTTGCTAACCAGAGGTATAAAATGCTATCATCCTCACCAAGCTAGCCGAATTTTGGAGTTCTTCTTTTATATATTTAAATGTTCCCGGCTAATTAAGACAAGAAAAGGAAAATAATGGAAGTTCCCTGCCTCTCTGCCTTCTCATTCGGTCTTTCCTACCTTTGGAGACCCGGTTCTCTTTTGCTGAAGGTTAAAAGTCCTACCTGTTCGCCTTTCTTTCTTTCTTTCTTTCTTGCTCGCTCTCTTTCAAACAGCCTGGCCAAAGATGCACCTGACAGCTTGCAAATACATTTGCGAGGACGCGCAATTTGTCAGCCCCTAAAGTCGCCCGCCCCCTCCCTCCCTCCCTCTCGCCCCCCCCTCTCCTTCCAGCCGAGTTCTGACGTGTCTCCGGCTGGCTTTGCAGCGGTTTCTGAATCAAAAGATACATTTGGCTTGTCAGGGCCGCCCCCCCCTTTCAGATTTTAACTCTCACTGGTGGGAGAATGCCGCCTTTGGTAAACTCGAGCCCACATGCCTCTGAGTTTCGGAACCGAAACCAATTATCTCTCGAAGAGCAGCACGGGAGATTTTAAAGTCCGAATCGTTCTTTTCATGTTAAGATTCCGACTATTCTTCGTTTCCACTCGTTTTCTCAGAAGAACCGAGCTGGACACGAGGAGAAAAGAATCTAGTCGGTCTCAAGGAATATCCAGAATATTTTTTTTTCTCCACGAAAGAAATTCTGACATTTTGCAATTTAAATATACATTTTTGTTCAAGGCAAATACTCTTCGATGTGAATATACGAAATGTTTAAGGCATGGGGTTTTTTATTCTTGTGATTATATAGCGTTGTCTATTGTGCCAATGTATCTAAAAACTTCAACGAGAGAAGTATAAAACAGTGGTACGATATTTCTCCACAAAGACTTTTATGCCTGCTAAATCTAAATTTAACGGCCAGCGTTTTATGAAGACAGATTCAATTAAATAAGGGGTGTTGCCAAATTGATAAAGTTGAAATAAAACAAAGAGATCAGTTCAATTCCATTTGGACAGCTTCCTTTTTTTAAAAAAAAATGTGTATATTTCTGCCTGTTTGAAATGCTTTTATTCTAAGCCTTATTATTGTTAGTTTTTAAAAGAAGTGGTATCTTATTACTATCTTCTAATTACACTTTTTTTACTCATGAAAATAATGTTAAAGCTCGTTCTAAAAAAGGAACCTGCAATGCTTTTGTAGATAGTTGTGGTCACTGTAACAAAGATAGGAAATGGCTATTTAAGACTCCCTCAATATTAGACTGTAGCTGATTACTGGAGCTTTTACTTTTTTTTAATCCTTCAGAATAACCTCTTATTAAACTCTTCTACTTTTTGATTGAAATCGTGCCTGAATGATTTGGTGGGGGGGGGGGCGGAGATTTTCCCCCATTCTCGTGTGTCTCCCCCCCCCAACAAAAGATGGTGGACGGTGGGGAAAGAAAAGCAAATATTTTAAAAGCTAGTGAGGAAGAGGAGGAGGAGGAGGAAGAGAATTGTAGAAGAAGAAGAAGACCCTAAAAGAAAAGACTGTAGCCTAGAGTTTGAGAGTTTTAAAACATGCAAAGCTGTGCAAATTTTCTGCACGGGACTGGGACCAAGCAGCCTCTCTGAGCTGGCAGGTGCAGAATGGATACCAGCCGGAGCTCTTCAGAGCTGCAGGGGTGGGGGGGTTTCCAGGGAAGAAGGAAAACCCTCAAAATCTCCTGGCGTCTTTTTAAAATGCACAAATCTCAGAACAATAAGAAAGTGTGTCTGTGTGTTGGCCCGGGGATTGGGGGGGGGCGTTGTGAGGAGGGGAGAAAGAGTAGAAATGGAAGAGTGTCGCGGCACTCTTTTAAACTTTTCTTTGCCCGGCCTCTTCAGTTCTCTCTTGGCTGTGACCCAATCCCAAGAGCAAGTCTTCTGGGAGTGTTTGTGTGTGTGTGTGTTTACATAAACATTTGTCCCCGAAACTGGAATCCAGGAGAAGACTTCTGAAAGAATCGGGCGCTTCCTTATTCGGCGGTTTCCTTTTCTGGTCCCAGCCAAAGACAAGACTACTAGGACTTCTGGCTTATTTGTTACAATCAGAATCCCCCGTGAAAGATTGTCCTCAAAATGGAAGTGATAAAAGTTTTCTTCCGTCAGGTCCGAAGGTGAAAAGGACGTGGCGGCAAGAGAGGGGGGGGGAGGGGGGGATGGGGGGGGGGGGGGGGGGGGGGGGGGGGGGGGGAGGGAGGGAGAGAGAGAGAGAGAGAGAGAGAGAGAGAGAGAGAACGCGCATCTCTCTCTCTCGACTTACAGGAAGGTTCTGCCCACACCTCTGATTGCAAGGCGTTGTCGCTTGGAAGCTCCTGGCGTCCCATTCTGTAAACTCTTTTTTTTATCTTTGCGCCTTTAATCGCAGACACAGAGAACGCCAAACTGCGGGGTAGTAACCGGCCTCCTTCCTTTTTGCCCGCTCGAGACCTTTTTATCCCCTCAGCCAGCAAAGCAGCTCTATCCTGTACTGTATTTTACTTCCCAACGAGCTGTCTCCTATTTATTAAAAAAAAAAATGCGCCTCTGATTCTGTATACATGCATACACCCTCTCCCCCAATAGGCATAGGTCTGCTCTGAAATGCTCGGACATACCTTCACCCTCATATTCACGCGTGGAGCCTGATTTTCTCCCTCTCTCCTCTCCTCTCTCTCTCCCTCTCTCCTCTCTCTCTCCCTTCTCTCTTTCTCCCTCTCTCTCTCTCCCTCTCTCCTCTCTCTCCCTCACTTCTCTCTCTCTCCCTCTTTCCTCTCTCTCCCTCTCCTCTCTCCCTCTCCCCTTTCTCTCACTCACTTCTCTCTCTCTCTATCTCTCTCTCCTTTCTCTCTCTCCCTCTCCCCCCTCTCTCTCCCTCCAGTCTCTCTCCCTCTCTCCTCCTCTCTTCCTCTCTCTCCCTCCTATCCCTCTCTCCCTCCCTTCTCCCCCCCCCCCCCCCAGTTCAGCTGATCCTCCCTGGTTTCATTCCAAGCTGGACGGGTCCTCAACCCAAACCTTCCCAAAGCCGAAGTGGTTTAAACACCGGCCACAGCAACAAGAGAGTGAGCGACAGAAGGAGCAAAGCAGGCCAAGCTAGGCCAGGCCAGGCCGGCGGTTCTCCTGTCCCAACAGCGCTCCAGGTCTTGTCTGTGTCCCAGGCAAGAAGGGCTCCTTGTTGTGCCTAGAATCCCAACGGTCTCCAGTTGCCCCTGCGAGACATTGTCCGCAGCGCTTTTAGGCAGCCCTTCGTTGGGCCGCGAGCCCCTCGCCCCTTCGGTGCCCCTGTTTTTCCGAAAGGGCCGGGTGGGAGAAGGAACAAAGAAGTCCGGTCACGTCTGCCAGGTGCGTCTCTAGGTGTGGCTTCTGCAGAAACCCCCTGCCGCTCCGCCGCGTCCCCTTACCTTTCCTTCGCTGTTCCCCGCGCCAGAGGTCGCGCTCCTTAGTTCCCTTAGGACCGTTTCTTCCCTTGGGAGAGTCTCGGCTCTCGGCTACCAGGCGCTGCCTTCCTGGGCCAGCAAGACCGGGCTCCGCGGCTGGCACATCTGGATTCGACCAGCGCCGCCGCCCTCTCGCCTCCGTCCTGACGCTCGGGGGGGGGGGGAAGAAAGGGGGAGCCGCTGGGGAGGAGGGGAGGCAACAGCGGGCTGCTAAGGGCAGGACGGAGGAGGAGGAGGAGGAGGAAGGGCTGCCAGGGCGGGCGGGAAGGGGTGGGTGGGCTAAGCCCCTTCAACCTGGCAGCCGAGCTCGGGGGCTCTCGCTTGCTCACACTCTCCCGCGTTCAAGGCTGGTGTGACGAGCCAGGGGTGTTTTTATGTACATAATAAGGCAGCTCGTCCCTTCG